AATCACTGGATGCATGCTGATCCAAGTCAAGGACTGAATAGAATCTGCTCCAAGTCAGTGAATCAATGCAATGTGCAAGTCATTGACAGGGTTCATGTTTATGTAATCTCCTCCTAATATTCATTTTTTCCATCACTGTCTCCTAACCTGCATTTTCCTCTATAGTTTTCTCTCACAGGCACCAACAGCAGTAAATTCTGTAGCTCCTGCTGGAGGAAGTTAGAAACGGACGTTATTGTCTCGCTAGGTCTACGGTCTTTGACTGACCTGGTGACGTTCCTTCCCAAAGCCAATTTACAGCAAATTTAACATTGTGCTTCTCTTACCGACGAGTCGTCTCCGTTACCTAAAACCTTTATCGTTGTTTTAAACTGCTAGCTCATTACCTGAGTCTAAGCAGGTGAGCGCTGGTTGGTGAACACACCTAGTTTCACCTTTAAAACGCGTTCTAAGTCGCTCTTTCTGGTCACCACAGGTTCATGTGGCACAGAGGTCAAGGAAAATCACGTCTGCTCCAAAGAGGGGCCTGCAACTGTAGCCGGTCAGCGGCTCGGTGGAGGGACCGGGCGAGGGAGGAAACGGCCCTTAGTGGAAGGTAACAATGGCCGACCCCCCCACAGCTACTGGCCCAAGAAGAATAAGAGGGTCTCAGAGACCGTTGCGCCCAAGAACGCCCTGATGCAGCTGAATGAGATGAAGCCGGGGCTGCAGTACCAGCTGCTCTCTCAGTCCGGGCCGGTCCATGCGCCGGTGTTTGTGATGAGCGTGGAGGTCAATGGGCAGCTCTTCAACGGCTCCGGCCCGACTAAGAAGAAGGCCAAGCTGAACGCTGCAGAGAAGGCCCTGCGTTCCTTCGTCAGGATCCCCAATGCACCCAAAGTGTCCAGGGGACGGACTCTGGCCCTTCAACCAGACTTTACCTCAGACCTAGAGGGCGTTCCTGATGTGCTCTTCAATGCCTTTGAGACCTCCAGGGCTTTAGACAGTCCATCTTACCCGGCCTTTGACCGTAGCAGTTCCTTCAAATCTCAGCCAGCACTATCCCCCCCTACCTCAAACCTACCCCAGCGTCCCCACCCCCCCACGCCACCTGCCCTCAGCTCTGCCACAAGTAGCAAGAACCCTGTGATGACTCTGAACGAGCTGAGGCCAGGACTCAAATATGACTTTGTGTCAGAGAGCGGAGAGAGCCATTCCAAGAACTTTGTCATGTTGGTGAGAGTGGACGGTCAGAAGTTCCAGGGTTCTGGGCGCAACAAGAGGCTGGCCAAGGCGCGGGCCGCCCAGGCAGCTCTGTCCTCTCTCTTCCACCTCCAGCTGGAAGAGGCGCCGTCCAGACGGCCCATACCGAGAGACGGACTGCAGCTTCATCTACCACAGGTGAGCAGAGTACAATTAGCTTTACCATCCAGGTGTGCCTGGAAGGAACCGCTTTACCGGACGCTCCTCTCCCGCCTAGTCCGTGTCGGGGTCAGGGTGGGGCCGGGTGCCTGTATGCGGCAGTCTATGGGCGAGAGGCGGGGTACAACCTGGGCAGGTCGCCAGGCTGAGGCAGTCCTGATACCATATGTTAGGCAATTTTACCTCCTTGATTATGAATATGGATTAGAATTAGAAGATGAAATTATAATTTATAATCTATTATTTTAATCACAGGCAAAGTGTCTCAAATTATTGTGATTAACAGCTATTAATTATAATCAACTTTCAAAAGTTTTAACCAACAATTATTAACTTTTTTCCTTAGGGAGTGGATATTTAATCAGTTGGGACCAATTCTACTTTGATTGACATATCTTTAGCCAATAAGACAAAAAAGTATTGGAAGTGTAGGGGCGGGCTTAAAAGATAGCGATTAATGATGTGCGGTACAACAGAGTATTAGGGCCAGAGTTGTCCTAAAATAGAAGTTTTTTCTTACAATATTACAACTTTATTGTCATAATTTTATGACTTTATTCTCATAATGTTACAACTTTATTCTCGTAATTT